GTAAGGTTGGTTGTCGACGGACATCTGCAACCCGTAGGAGCTTTGTTAGATGTCTTTTGTTTGCAGTAGCTGTTGTATATTGTAATTGTAGTTGTTTATATTAGAATTTTTGGTTAGTTTATATTACATTTAGAATCGTTTTGATTTCAAACTAGATCAAACGAAAAGTGACATCAAAGAGAGACTAATACATCTATAGGATTTAGCCAGATACAGTATACAGTGTCTCCCGTTATCTCTGTCTCCACAGTAAAGTGTACAGTATATAGTGTTATAATTTTGTACTCACTTCTGCTGCATGTGAACTGCACACAAGATTTATTTAATGTAGGCTAAGGGTGACAAACGCGCACGGGGCAAACCTGCCGGCAAGTGGTTGCTGAGGCCCGCACACAGCTACATCTATCCTCGATTAAGAATTAAAATGATGATGATGCGTTGTCACCTCTGATAACTAAGATGGAATGCCTTCGTAAAAAGAGTCTCCCGTTCTCTACACTCACCGTACGAAACACAGCAGCATTAAGCTGCTATATTACGCTGGCGTTCTGTGAGAGCGTGGTACTACCCCAGTCGATCCGACCCATTCGTGTTCTACCGCGTATAAGCTTTTCTTTATTTCTTATTATGAATTATTAAAATTTTAATTATTATTAAATCAAAGGAATAGTGTTTAATTTGGTTACTTTTGTTCATTTTCATTATACGTGTTATGATTATTTGCTAACGCTTTTACTGTCATAGTATAAAGTACACATACTATACTTTATATGCCACATTCAGTAATATTATTTTTTGAATATGTTGCTATGTGTTGTAAATAAGTAGATAACGCACCTTTTGTTTACCGCACACAAAGCTATTCCACAAACGTTAAAATACTTTTTATTGCCTGTAATTATTATGTTAGAGCTTAAAAACTGTATATTGGAAATAAGCATTAAAACTCTTGTTATATATAAACAGTTATTGTAGTTGATGTTATATAATATAAACAGTTATTGTAGTTGATGATTATTAATAATGATAATATTATATGGACATGTTTCACAATATTGTTTAATCTAATTAAGCATGTACGGATGTGATAGAATGGCCCAATTTTTTTTATTATACTTATATATATATATATATACAGAATGACTTACCGTCTGGAAAAAAAGGTGAACAGAGTAGAAGCACATCATGGCACTGATATTTCGCATTTTTTCTTCTTCATTAAAATACTATGAAATTGATTACTACAAATTTTGTCTTAACTCTGTTATTATACATAGATAATACATAAACACTCACGCCTGTCACCTAGAGGGGTAGGCAGAGACTACAGACTTCCATTTGGCACGATCATGACACACCTCTCGCCTCCTTCACATCCATACACCTACGCATACATGCTCGTCGGTTAAGGGTACTTTTAACGTGGCCCATTTTCAAAATATCGCCAATTTGGTCGATAAATTTTCGCCTAGGACATCCCTTTCCGACTCTGCCATTCACTTCTGCACCATAAATTTTCTTTGTCACTCTTTCCTCATTCATTCTTTCCACATGGTCAAACCACCGAAGCATTCCTTTCTTAATCCTGGTCACAACATCATCTTGCAAACCACACTCTTCTCTTATTACACAATTTCTTACCCTGTCATTCAGATTCAGCCCTAACATACTCCTTAACGACCGCATTTCTACTGCGTTCATTCTACTCTCGTGCTTCTTCTGCCACACCCAACTTTCACTACCATACGTTAAAGTAGGGATCAACACAGCATTGCGAATTGCCATACGTGCCTTTTTTGACACATTTTGACTCTTCACAATAGAATGCAGGGCCCCATTTACTCTATTTCCCGCATTCACTCGTCGTTCTATATCCTTATCATATCTCCCATCCCTGCTAAATACGCAGCCCAAATATACAAACTCATCTACTTGCTCGATCAACTCCCCTTCTATTCTTATTTCACAAATCGTTTTACTTTCTTCTCTTTCAAAAACCATAACCTTCGTCTTACTTGCGTTTACTTTCATATTTAATGATCTGTATTAATGTAACCATCATTTGCAACTCGGCCGCCGACGACGCAAGAATAACTTGATCATCGGCGTACAAAAGGCATTTGACGGTTAACTCACCCATTCTTAATCCGCATTCTTCAACTTTCAAATTTTGCAAACAACTGTCCATAAATAGGTTGAACAGCCACGGGGAAGCCACACAGCCCTGTCTGACACCTTTATGGATGTCAAACCAGTCCGAGTAGACCCCGTTGATCCTAACACAAGCACTAGAGTCCCTATAAAGAGACTCCAATGCCTGTATCAAGCCTGCGCTCAACCCAAATGAGTTCAGTGTTTGCCATAGCACATCCCTATCCACTCTGTCATAGGCCCTTTCCAAGTCCATGAACGCACAAAAAACCTTTTGGTTTTTGGCCAAAAACTTCTCCGCGATCGTGCGCATGGAAAAGACTTGATCTGTACATCCCATTCCCTTTCTAAATCCCGCTTGCACATCCCAAATTTTTCCATCAGTTTCTTTCATGACCCTTTCAATCAGTATCTTACCATACAGTTTTCCCACAATGCTAAGAAGGCTGATGCCACGGTAGTTTTTACAGTCCTGCTGCGACCCTTTTCCTTTATATACTGGGACTATTACGGCTTTGCACCAGTCTACCGGTACCCGCTTCAGTTCCCAGCATAAATTAAACAAGGTGTGCAGCAGGCCTGCCACGACTTCCTCTCCAGCCCTTAGCATTTCGAGTGAAACTCTATCATATCCGGCAGCCTTACCTGCTTTCATGCTTTTCATTGCTTTCATTATTTCATCTATACTTATCTCGCTACCTCTTTCCTCTTCTTTCGGTGTTTCTACTTCACTTAGTACACACGTTGTCTCCTCACTCATAAACACGCTTTCAAAATATTCCATCTCTTTAAACTCAAAACTTCATCATTCAGAATATAGCCATTCTCGTCTCTTATAGCATTCATCATAGGCTGTTTTGAATGTCCCCTGGCAGTTCTTACAAGTTTCCAGAACATTTTAATATTTGCCTGGAAGTTATCCGACATTCTTCTATCATTCTTATCCGTTCTTTCTTGCTTTTTTCTTTCAACTACTTCTTTTACTCTCTTATTTAGATGTCTAAAGACTGCTTTTTTTCTTTCAATATCATCATTCGTACCGCTAGAATTACCAGCCTCTGTTGCTAGAAAATCTAGCCATGCTCTCTTCTTTGCTTCAACTTCCATACGTACCTCATCATCCCACCATAACGTATTATTTTTCCTTTCATTATTTCTCTTACTAACACCACATACTTCGGTAGCTGCATCCACTAAACCTTTCTTTACATTTTGCCATACATTCTCCAAGTCTAACTCCTTCATACATAATTCATCCAAAGCACTTATATTTTCTTTCAGTCTACATTTGAACTTGTTTTTCTCACCTTCATTTTATAACCTTTCTGTTCTAATACGCTGTAACGCAGTGGTAGACACAGATGATCGATGGCGCCAACGCCTGAACAGACCATTAATTCGGCATAAAACCAAATAATGATCCGTTCCTACGTTAGAACCCCGGTAAACCCTTGTATCTACCACTGCGCTCCTCAATCTTTCATCCACAATTATGAAATCTATCGTGCTTCTATCGTCACCTCTTTCAGTATACATGTGAATCTTCTTGTGGCCAAAGCAAGTGTTCGTCACAAAAAGATTCTTTTCCATACATATGGTGAGGAGACTTTCACCATTCTCATTTATACTTTCATCACCAAACGTTCCCAATATCCTTTCATAACCAAGCCTCCTCACCCCAACCCTTCCATTAAAATCTCCTAGCATAATAATATTTTCATTTCCCTTACACTTCATTAACACCATCCTTACCATTTCCCAAAACTGCTCTCGGATATAAGTGGGCTTAGACATGTCTGGGGCGTAGACCCCTAACACAAACAACTTCTTTAAGCCCACTTTCATTCGTATCCATAGCAGTCTTGGGCTTACACATTCATACTCTTTCACAAATTGGCCCATTCTTTCTGAAAGGATGATACCTACTCCCTGGCATGCCCGCTCGATCTCGTCTACACCAGACCAGTATGCGGTATACATGCCATGTGTAGTGACATCCTTCCCCTTCCTTTTCGTCTCATTTACACATAACACATCTATTCCTCTATCATACATCATATCGCATACTTCATCCATTTTATCATTCATTGCCCCACATACATTCAACGTAGCCAGACGGGCCTCTACAATCCACTTTTCGCCTCTCTGGGAGACAGAACGTGACGGGTGGCGAACCTCGTCGCCGGTTTTCCTCCCGGAGATTCTTCGCACCCCTGCCCCATTCAAGGGGCGCCGGGAACTCGGGGCTATTTCTTTTCTTTGATTCCTCATGGTGCGAAATATGGGGTAGCATATTTTACGCCGCTACCACGGCGTGGAGCCGAGTCTGTGCTATCGGCTTGTCGCTCATTTAGCACCACCCGGGGGACACGTGTAGGGTGGGCCTAGGAATAGGTGGCTAAAGCCTACGGACGCGAGCGACTTATCCCCCCGACTTATCCTTTTTTATTATGAGGGTTTTGTTTATGTTTCATATAACTATGTTCGCTCTGCAATTTGTGAATACTGAAACTCTAGACAACTTTTAACAAATGTATCCATCACTTTCACACACACGCCTACACTTCCTCATACATGTTGTACACTTACACTTACAAAAATATACACACAGCACATTCATATACTCACCGTTACATAAACTGTTACTTATTCGTTTCTCACACACTCAGGAACTTAAACTGTTAATGGTCCAGCTTCACCTTAATATATTTTCTTTAATAATATTTATACAATTTAATGACCCCTTTTACAATTTATTGACTTTACATATAAAATTAAGCAAAACCTACATAATATCTACAAATACAACTATCACCGATCACTACTCTTCAATCATATGTATCAAAACA